CTGCTTCCTGGCACTGGTGGGGGAAGTTCCTGGCAGAGAGTCCCCACACATACACCATTTCTCTGCAGTATGCACTTGAGGACAAACCCTCAGTCTCTGGGGCCACCCCTCTCCCACCAACCCATCCAATCTCCTTTCAGATTGGAGGGGCAGAGACAGCATTCTGAAGATGCCCCAGGGGGTGGGGAAGGAGGCCCCAGCCAGCAGAGCAGGGGGCTGTGCCAGCATGGCCGAAGGGATACGAGAGGAGATGAGAACTCTAAACCTTTTGTCACCAGCTAGATGCTAACTCCTTTCATGCCCCTGGTTTTTAACCCGCCAGCCCTGCAGCTCCCACTGGCCAACGATGGGGGCAGCCGCTCACCATCCTCGGAGAGCTCCCCACAGCACCCTACACCCCCCACCCGGCCCCGCCACATGCTGGGGCTCCCATCAACCTTGTTCACACCCCGCAGTATGGAGAGGTAAGCTGGTGGAGCAGGGCTAGCACAGGGCCCTCCTTGTGCTGGTCCTAGGGAGGTGGGGGATGTCAGTGGGACCCTTGTGGTCAGCTCCTGTTTTGTCCTTCAGCATCGAGATTGACCAGAAGCTGCAGGAGATCATGAAGCAGACAGGGTACCTGACCATCGGGGGCCAGGTACTACCTCCCTATAGGCACCCTGGGGGCTGTGACAGGACCCAGGCAGGCTAGAGGTGGTGGGTGACAGGAGCAGAGGCTCTGGGGACCCTCCAGCTGCCTTGCTCTCCACCCAGCGATATCAGGCAGAAATCAATGACTTGGAGAACCTGGGAGAGATGGGCAGCGGTACCTGTGGTCAGGTGTGGAAGATGCGCTTCCGGAAGACAGGCCACATCATTGCTGTCAAGGTGAGCCTTCCACACCCCAGTTCCAGGATGTCCCCTGTGCCCTTGCAGCCTGCGCAGCACTTGAAGCTCCCCTCCTGGCTGTCCCTCCTTGCAGCAAATGCGGCGCTCGGGGAACAAGGAGGAGAACAAGCGCATCCTGATGGACCTGGATGTGGTGCTCAAGAGCCACGACTGCCCCTACATTGTTCAGTGCTTTGGCACCTTCATCACCAATGTGAGCACCCCGCATGCGGGGCCAGGACTTCTGCCCCGTAGGGTCCCACACGTCCCCAGGTACCAGAGTGTGGTTAGGGTGGGGAGGGAAGCATGGCTGCCCCAAGCCCTGCGTGCCGCCCTCCCTCTACAGACAGACGTCTTCATTGCCATGGAGCTCATGGGCACGTGTGCAGAGAAGCTGAAGAAACGGATGCAGGGCCCCATTCCAGAGCGGATCTTGGGCAAGATGACTGTGGCGGTGAGTGGCTAAATCTGGTCTTGTGTGGGCTAGGTGGGTGCCCTGGATTCTGTCCTCCCGTGACAGGTCCTTGAACCTGTCTGTCCTACAGATTGTGAAAGCGCTGTACTATCTAAAGGAGAAGCATGGTGTCATCCATCGTGATGTCAAACCCTCCAACATCCTGCTCGACGAGCGGGGGCAGATCAAGCTCTGTGACTTTGGCATCAGTGGCCGCCTTGTTGACTCTAAGGCCAAAACACGGAGTGCTGGCTGTGCTGCCTACATGGCTGTGAGTGGGGCCCTGCTGGACCTGACACAGGGACTGGGTGGGCCGGCCCGGCCTTCAGGGTATATCCTCTTCCTCTCCCTCCTTGCAGCCTGAGCGCATTGACCCTCCAGACCCCACCAAGCCTGACTACGACATCCGAGCCGATGTGTGGAGCCTGGGCATATCATTGGTGTGTTGGGGCTTCTGTTCTGAGGCTTGGTGGGAGAGCAGGGATCCTTCACCTGCTGCTCCAGCAATGCCTGTCACCCTCCCAGGTGGAGCTGGCAACGGGACAGTTTCCCTACAAGAACTGCAAGACGGACTTTGAGGTCCTCACCAAAGTCCTACAGGAAGAGCCCCCACTCCTGCCTGGTCACATGGGCTTCTCAGGGGACTTCCAGTCATTCGTCAAAGACTGGTGAGCACTCCCACTCTGCCTGTCCTTTCTCCTACTCCTCTACTCTGGGATGTGCTGGGGAGGGCTGGGGAGGGGGAAGGGATGAGGTGGGCATAGCTCCAGGTAGGCCTGTGGCTTGAGGCTGTAGATAGGAGCTAATGCTGGAGCCTTTGGAATCACTTTCTGGGTTTGGACCTGCCCTAAGGGGACAGCTGGTCCTGTGGGTGTCTGGTGTGGTGACCTGGGCCTTTGCCATGGAGGTTATCCAGGAAGACCACACTTGAGTCTTAACTTTCTCTTGTGTGAACCTCACATTCTGGTTCCAGCTCCCCAGCTGGGTCTTCACCATGCTACCCTGGGCCAGGAGACTTTGTGGGTCCCCAGCCTGGTGGAGCCTGGCTGTGAGCAGCTGCTTCTGGCTGATGTGGAAGACCCCTTTTTCACTGGGGAGGGCCTGAGCACAGAAGCGCATCCAGCCACAATCGGGTCCACCTCCTTGACTCTCATTTCTCTTCTCTCCCTGCTCTTCATCCAGCCTTACTAAAGATCACAGGAAGAGACCAAAGTATAATAAGCTACTTGTGAGTACCTAGCCCCCAATTCCCGCCACATGTGAGTCCTTCCGGCCTTGGTTGAAGGACCAGGAGGGCTGACTCCTCATCCTAAGCTAACTCTTGGGCCTACAGGAACACAGCTTCATCAAGCACTATGAGACACTCGAGGTGGATGTGGCGTCCTGGTTCAAGGACGTCATGGCAAAGACCGAGTCTCCAAGGACTAGTGGAGTCCTGAGCCAACACCACCTGCCCTTCTTCAGGTAGCCTCATGGCAGCGGCCAGCCCCACAGGGGCCCAGGGGCATGGCCACAGGCCCCCCTTTCCCACCTGGCCAATCCAGCTGCCCATCAGGGGACCTGGGACCTGGACAGCTGCCAAGGGCTGAGGACAGAAAGTAGGGGGTACCCATCCACCTCTGACTCCCTACCCACCAGCTGTGGACAGACGGGCATGCTGGTCCCTAATTTTTCCCACTCTGGGGTCAGCCAGCTACGCGAACCCCACCCCACCCCGACAGACACTGTGAACGGAAGACAGCAGGCCATGAGCAGACTCGCTATTTATTCAATCATAACCTCTGTGCTGGGGTGGCCCCTCGGGGCAGAGAGAAAGCTCCTGTCCCTTTCCCCCAAACTCCCAGGTGTCTGTCCCTCTACCTTCTCACATGCTTGCTCTTCTCCATCTCTCCCTCCCTTCCCTCCCTCTCTACCTCTGTCCCTTTCTGGTTTCCTGTCTCCCTCCCAGCCTCTGCCTCTCTCCTAGCCTAAGCCTGGGTCCAGCCACTCCTACCCCTCAGTGGAAGCCCCAGGTCCACCCAGGCCTCCTCAAGTCCTTGTCCCAGGATAGCTTTGTGGGCATTGTGACTGCGGCCAAATGGGTTGCTGTCTCCGTGTCTGTCTGTCTCTCTCTCTCTTTGATCTCAGGGGGTCCTTTTTGGAGTTTATTGTATTTTATTGTACTTGGTGGGGTGGGGTGGGGGGCTTGTCCTCATAGGGTGTGTTGGTACCTTCAGAAACTTTTACCAAAGTAATGTTCAGCTGCTGGTGGTGGGCCCCCTCCTCTCCATTGCCCTCAGGCATTTGGGGGGTTGGACTGCTTGCTGCTCTTTGTTAGTTCTGGCCTAGAGAGACCAGGCTCAATTAGGGGATCCTCACGTGGGACTGGGGACTGGTTACAGCTTGGGGTTGAGTAGAAGAGCTCAGGTGGTACAGAGGGAGACCAGGGGCCTCAGCCACACAGATGGCCTTTAGGAAAAGTGTGTGAGGGGTGCGGTGGAGAAGCAGGTAGCAGGGAGGGAACTGGAGGGAGTCAGCGACAGGAGTGAGGCCGAGGTGCAAAGAGGGGTTCCAAAGAAGGCAGGGATTGAGGGTTAAGGGAGTAGATGTGGAGGTCTGAGCATGTGTGTCAGGGACAAGATGGACAGGCTTGAGTGCAAGGGAGGTCAGGGTTCTGGTATGTGAAGTGACTTACTCCCATTGTGCCCCTGAGCGTCCCTTAGCTCACCTAGAGCTGGCTAGCTCCAACCCAGCTTGTGGCCTGGACTGGGCCAGGTGTCTGTCCCATTGTCCTGCAATGGCCAGGACAGGGTGGGGTATGTTTCCTTTTTGTTGGTGATGCATGCAAATCAAGTGGTCAAGAGAACAATATAACAGAACAAAACAAAAAAATACTTTAAAACCACAAACAAAACCCAGCACCAAAGCTGAGAAACCTTGCTGGATGTAGCTGATGCCACTGTAGGCTTAGGCGACACTGTGGCTCCTAACTATCCTATTGACTTCATTCATCAGCATATTACACAATGCCGCATGTTTCAATCGCAATAGAAGTCGAAGTCATCTTCTCTGCCTGGGGCAGGGCACCCTCTCTCCTTACCCCTCATGTTGGGGAGGTAGAGTGAAGTAGGGGTAGAATAACAAGCCTGCCCCCCCCCCCCAACCTTACCATTCTGAGGCTAGCCACCAGCATGGGCAGCCTTCATGGGTAGTTAGGTCTCTTGGCTGGTCCCTGGGCCAGCACAGGCCCAAGACTGGGCCGCATGGTTTTATTTTTATTTAACTTTATTTTCTGTGTGTGTCTCTGTCTGTCTGTCTGTCTGTCTGTGTCCAACCCCCTCCAGTGTTAAGTGGGAGCCTGGGGGAGTCTCTCACTTCCCCACGTCTCCCAAGTCCTTCCCTTTGTCACCAGCCATCCCTCTGGCCCAGGCAGAGTGGGTGTCGGGCAGGTAGGGACCTGGAGTGGCCTGGTCCTACCCTCTGGCCTGTGGACTCCTCCTCAGGCCGCCAGTGTTGCCCCCTCCCTTTTTAAAACAAAATATCCTTGTTTGTAAATCCTTAGACGCTTGAGAATAAAACCCTTCCTTTTCTTCTGAGTGTGTTGTCCTAAGCCTGGTAGAGTTTATAGAGATCGGGGAAGGGGCTGGGGGGAGGGTGGGAGAGCTGGGCAGGAGGTGTTTGGAGTGACTTGGGGTATCAAGCTGCTTTGTGAGGGGCCCCCTTCCTCTCGAAATTTCAGCACATCAAGAAAGCCCTTACCCATGCAGGCCTTGAGCATGGGCTCTGATGTTAGCCCCTGTATCCTCCACCCCCGCTCCCTGTTTCCCAGGGTGGCAGACTCACCAAGGCCAGGGCTGCCTACCCATACCTACAGGGCTAAGTACAGCCCAGCCAGGTGCCTGCTGCTGGCCTGGAGCATTCCAACCTGGACAGGCCACCATGGTGGGCACTAAACTCCTGCTCCTGGCCCTCCTCCCTGGGACTGCCACTGTGCTCAATGAACCACTTGGTATGTAGCTGTGGTAGCTGGCACAGGGGGCGGGGGCACCATGTTCCACTTCCCTGCTCTTCCTTCTCAACTTAGTTTTGCACCTGGATGTGTTGGGGGGCGCCGGGTTGCCATCCTCATGCTTTTCCCCAAGCTAGCCCCTCTGCCGGTTTCCTCAAAGTTCTCAACAACCTAGTGATGGCAAGGACTGTGGATGGGAGCAGGTGTGCAGATCCAGTCGTTCTGAGAAAACCCCCCGCTAAACTGCCACTTGGCAGGAGTCATTGCCTGTATAGACGTTTTAGTGAGTGCACATAAGCGCAAGCCTGGATGAGCACAAAATAAGAGGTCATCCGCCATCACCTGTTGGCACTGTCCTTTATTTGGGGCCTTGGATCTCTGTTGAACAGAAATTCCCATTCCAGTCGCCTGTCTGGACCACGGCTCTGCCTTCTAGGGAGGGCGCCCTCTTGACCACAACAGATGTTAGCACCCTACCTCCCCTTAGTGGCCAGTAGGTCATAATGGGTCTCTTAGACTTTAAGACTAAGACTCTTGCTCTAAGACTTAGAGCAGGGCTGGGGAGATGGCTCAGAGGTTAAGAACACTGGCTGCTCTTCCAAAGGTCCTGAGTTCAATTCCCAGCAACCACATGGTGGCTCACAACCATCTATAATGAGATCTGGTGCCCTCTTATGGCCTGCAGTGATACACGCAGACAGAGCACTGTATACATAATTAATAAATAAAACTTTAAAAAAAAAAAAAAAGACTTAGAGCAACCTAGATGGGGCAGACCTGTCTTGATCTTGCCCAGCTGAACTCCACCAACACTGGTCAACCGAGTGTATCCCCAAATCCCTTTCCCTAGTCTGCAGGTGGTAAAAGAGGTCAGAAAAGGGAGCACGGCTTTGTGCAGGTTTTGACTACTAGGCAGTGATGTCATTAGGCGTTCTTACTACTAGGCAGTGATGTCATTAGGCGTGCATAGTATTAACTTGGAGAGAGTTTGGCACACAGCTGAGCAAGGGTAAAAAGACCATCTGTAATGTGTCCCTTTTCCAAGAGAGGCAAGGGCTGGAGGTGGAGGCCTTCCCCTAGAAGAAATGCGTCCTCCTTACTCTGTGCTCCATTCCAGCACCCCCATTCCCTGGGGCGCCTGGCCCCTGGCTGCGCAGACCCCTTTTCAGTCTGGATTTTTCAGACACAGAAGATTCATTCCCTTACCGCACTGGGCCACTGGAGGTTCCGGCCGACAGCCATGTGTTTGTGCAGGTGCGGGCGCCTGAAACACCAAGGGTGGGTGGGAATAAATGGGGACCGGTCGACCTTGATGGCGCCTTGGTTCCTCAGGCAGCCTTGGCCTGTCCTTCACCGAGATGGGACCTGGCCCTGCATCGCTGCTCAGTAACACCTTCCTCACGCCCGGCCCTGGGGCCTGCTCTGGTGCTTCTACGTGGGGGCTGCCCTGCTGACGCCTCTGCCAACTTCTCACCACCTCCACATCCGGATGCTGCTCGCCCCACACGCTTCAGCTTCCCTTCCGCTTGCGCCCGGTATTCAACGCCTCAGTGCAGTTCCTGCACTGCCAGATAAGCCGCTGCCGTCGCAGCCACCGCCACTGAGCTCTCCACCAGACACCGACGCCTCTTACCCCACCATCGCTGTCGCAGGTGCGCTTGTAGAAGCAGTAATCCGAGTACCCTCGGAAGAGTCTCTGTAGCTAGCCACAAGCGTCTCTGGCAGCGGAGGGAAGAACTCTACCAGGTTTAGAGGCCTGGGAAGCAGAGTGCTTTATGGTCTGGGTTCCTCTTAGGATGGGTACTGGGTGCAGAGCTACCCCTCATGGATCTACCTGCACAAGGACTCTCCAGGAGACAGGAAATGCAGAGCATTAGGCTCTGGGATCCTTGGGTGGGAATCTAAAGTTCTTTTAGGGCTGGAAGACTGGATGCAGAAAACTGTGACACGTCCAAACTGATTTGGGTGTCTCACTTGGGACCTAGAGGCTGGCATATTGGGTGTTCTAGGGCTGAAACCACTTCTCTGTTTAGGGGTTGGGTCCAGGAGTCCTGTGAACTCTTAGCTCTAGTGGAAAGCTGGAAGTTTAAGTCCATTTTAGGAGCTCTGGGGAACCTGATGTCTGGTTTCTTCCCTCCCAACCCAGCGTCTGCCTCAAGATGAGGCATGCGCGGGCAGAGGTGAGAGCCTTGGTACCGACAGCCCCCACCTGCACACTCTGACGCAGCCCATCGTGGTCACAGTACCTCGTCCACCCCCTAGTAAGCTCACAAGCGGCCCTGGAACTCGGGTGGAAAACACAACTAGGTCCAGGGCCTGGTCTCAGCCTCGCACACATCCCCATAGGGCCGTCTAAGAGCCTTTCCGGCAGGGCCGTGCGTCCAGAGCCGCCCGCTCCAGCCGCTGCAGCCCTGGAGCCCGCACCAGTGGTGGCCTTGGTGTTGGCCGCATTCGTGCTGGGTGCTGCGCTGGCCGCTGGGCTCGGTCTCGTCTGCGCACACTCAGGTACCGACTTCTGTCCCGCCAGAACTCAATACCTATTTCCACAGGTCCAGAAAGCCTATCCTCCATACCTCCCCCACGTCAGCCCCCCTCCCTCTATGTGCCCCATCATGCTGAACTTTCTTGGATCTGGCCCTCTGCAGCAGCTCCCACCAGAGGTCGCGCTTACCCTGGCGCAGTGCACAGGCAACCCTTATTCTAGGCAGCTGCTTCTTTCAGCACCTCCAGCCCCCGGCCAGCCTCCTAGAGCTTCACCCGGCGGCCCCCAGATCCAGAGGCCCTAGTAGGCAGGTAAGTACAAGGTGCGAAGGAGGTGGTGGTAAGGATCCTTCATAGAGTTTACCCATTGGGCTCCAAGTAGCTTGTATGTTTATTAATTTTTTGAACAACCTTCAGGCGGCTACTTTTATAATGTCCATTAGAGATTTAAAAAAATGAGGCACTTTTATGAGGTTAAGTGACTTGTCAAAGGTAAAGCTGGAAATGGAATTTGGGGGATGGGGTCACCAGCAGTGAAGAAATGGGGTTCTTAAGATTTGAACAGGCACCAGGTAAATGTTAGGGATTTAGACATAGTTCCTAGTCTCACACAGGTGCATAGATTGATGGAGGAAGCCAATGCCTGCTGGGAAAATGTGACCTGGTGAGTCTCTGCCACATCCTCTCTAGAGATGGCACAATTCAGTGAGGTCCTGTGATGCATCCAGCCATGGATTCAGAACCCTCTGGAAGGACTCATGCACATCTCTCCTCCCTCTCACCTTATCCGTACTCACCTGGTTCAAAATAAATTTCTTACCTGCCTGCTAGCTTCTAGTGGAGTTAATGAGCTCCCAAGCACGGGGTGGCGGGGAGCGCAGGAAAGGGAGCTCCATGCTGTGCCTGGGAACCAGAACTTGGAAGATTCGTGGCTGGGAAAGACAGATTGGAGGGGCTCGACTCCAACCCCCATGAACACATATACCCAGGGAGAGTCAGGGGCCATTTGCCTGGAACAGAAAATTACACCCACCCTGGCCAGCTTAAGTTTAAATTAAGTCCTGCTTTCTTTCTCCACTCCAACACCGCAGCTCACCCATCCCCAGACCTGCCTTCTTTCAGGTCTCTTGAATCCTTCCTACCAAAACTCCCCCCTCCTCTGCACTTAAGCAATAATACAACTTCCAGGTTTAGTTTACCAGTGAGGAAACCGAGGCTCAGCAATACTAAACCACCTTCGCCAAACTCCCCAGGGCTGTCTACCCCCATAATCCAGACCTGTTTTTCTCTCAAGCTAGGCTTTCACTATGTAGCCCAGGCTAACCTTGAACTCATGGTCTTTCTGTCTCAGTCCCCGAAATGCTGGGACTAGTAGCCACCACTTCTGGCAAGCCAGGGTTTATTTGTTTGTTTAGATTTATGTGAGTGTTTTGCCTGCATGTATGTATGTACACCATAGCATGCCTGGTGCTTGGGGAGATCAGAAGAGGGCATCGTGTCATCTACAAGAACAGCAAGTGAGCCAGGTGTAGAGGCGTATGCCTTCAAATCCACCATTCGGGAGGATCTCCGTGAGTTTGAGGCCAGCCTGGTCTACATATCGAGATCCAGGCCACCAGGTCTACATAGAGAGACCCTGTCTCACAAATGACAAGCCCAGGATTTTTAGGGCAGCTGCCCCCTTCTCTGCGAAAAGGAAAGCACACGGTACGGGTTTCATGAGTTGGCTCAGGAATATAGGGTCTAAAGTTTTGGCTCCAGCTCATGAGTGACATAAAACGCAGATAAAACTCGGGGATCCTCCGCCCGCCTCAGTCTCAGCAACTCCTCCAGAGCCACGCCCCCATCTGCTAAGTCGTCCGCGTAGTGCTTTTTCAGACCTTCAGAGCCTCCGTAGTCCCGCCCGCCAGGGAAGAGACCGTAAGAGCTCCGGCATGAAGCCGCCGCAGCGACGGCGGAAGGTCCCGGCCCGCTACGTGGGTGAGGCTACCGGCCCCACGGCTTGGAGCCCCCGCGAGATGCGGAATCTACTGAGACTTCTTCAGGCTCGGCGGGGACAGCCGGAGCCAGACGCCGCGGAGCTGGCCGCGGAGCTGCAGGGCCGCAGTGAAGCCGAGGTGGCGTCCGGGCTGGGGGCTCGGGGCTGCGGGCCTTGCCGAGCCGGAGCGGGCGGAGTGGGTGGAGCGCTGTGGCGTGGACCAAGGTGGAGCTTAGGGCGGGGTTATGTTGGAGCTTTGGAGCCGACCAAGGTGTACCTAAGGGGCCTGTTTCGGGCGGGGCGACAATGAAGTTTAGGGTGAGGCCTTGGTGAGGCTGGGACGGGGGGAGCTTAGGGGCGGGGCGAGATGGCACGCTACTAGATTGTAAGTGAGACCTAAAGGAGCTGCTGGGCGGTGGTGGCGGTGCACGCCTTTAATCCCGGCACTCCGGAGGCGGAGGCACGCGCATCTCCGAGTTCGAGCCTGGTCTACAGAGCTAGTTCCAGGACAGCCAAAGCTACTCAGAGAAACCCTGTCTTGAAAAAAAAAAAAAAAAAAAAAGTGGAGCATGAAGAGGAGGTAGTATGTGAGTGGGTACACTTGGGAGTGGGGCGAGAGCAGTGGGATGGAGTGAGTCTATGGGTAAGACTGTGGAGAGGAGTGTGGGCCGGAGAAATCAAAGGGCTGATTGAGCAGAGTGGAGGTGAATGGAAGTGAGGCTGGGTGGAGTTGGTAGTGGAGGCATCTATGCCCTTAATCCCAGTACTCAGGATCCCAGCACTGGTAGACATCTGAGTTCAAGGCTAGCCCAGTCTACATAGTTCCAGGACAGCCAGCACTCTTTAGAGAGAATTGCCAGTGCTATATAAATCAACCAAACAAAAAAGATGGAGTTGGACAGAGCCAAAGTTAGTATGAAGTGAGATCCAGGAAGATAGGGTGGGGTGGAAGTGAATAGGTTAGTTCTCATTATAAGAGCAAGCTATAGCCCCTGGAAGGAGCAAGAACAGGCTTGGCATTTACATTTTCATTAGGGAGCTGGTCACACACTGGGTCCTTGGCTTGAGTCCCGGCAGTTTCGGGAATGTGCAACACTGGGCACCGGGATAGGGAGCAGTAGCAGTCCCTTAAACAAGCAAGGCAGTAGACTTTGGTCTTGTCTGTATTTCTGAGCTCATAGAAGGCTTGTCCTCCTTCCCAGATCTGCCGATTTATCCAGCAGCTCAAAGGTCGAGTGGTTCGTGAGGCCATTGGGAAGGTGCACCCAGGAGGTCCAAGGCGTCAAGAAGCACAGCTCCCAGCCCCTATAGAGGTGAGGCAGGAGGGTAAGGTGAGGGCTGCCCTAGGCTGGCTCCTGAAGGAGGAAGGATAACCTGGTCAGAGGAATCCAAGGAAGGACAAAACTTGGGAGACTCCTGAGGTCTGTGCCCTAGACTAACCATGGACCTACTGGCTTCACCCAGGTATGGATGGATCTTGCTGAGAAACTAACAGGCCCACTGGAGGAAGCCCTGACTACAGCTTTCTCCCAGGTACAGCCACTGACCCTTGGCACGTCAAGGGTATTTATTACAGGACATGAGTGGGTATGGCCCAGTGGTAGAAAGCCCCTGGTTTTAGTCAGGCAACGGTGTTGTATATAATCTCCAAATTTGAAGGAGAAGAGACTTGCCAGTGAGTTCCAGGCCTCTCCTGCCCCTACCCAAAAAGAAAAGAAAAATGTAGCTCTGGATCCTGGCCCTTTCCTGTGCCAAACCAGTGACTCCAGTGGAGCATCGACACTTGAGCCATGGTGTCTAAGGGCATCTATTGTGTGGGTCACCTTCAGAATGGCAAGGAGGATTTGGTGAGTGGGTGGAGGTGGAGGTCTTATTCTAGGCCCAGCGGGGCAATGGAAAATGAAAGACGCCCCCTTCCTCTCTGTCAGGTGCTCACCATTGCTGCTGCAGAACCCATCAGCCTCCTGCACTCCAGGCCAGCAAAGCCCACAAAGGCCCGTGGAAAGCCACTGCTGTTCTTGAGTACCCAAGGAGAGCAGAAGAATCCTGTCCTTGAAGCTTCTGGGCCTGGCCCTGTGACTGCTGACTCCACTCCCGAGGCCTCTGTGCCTGTCCCTGAGGCTTCTGATCACAACCCTGAGACCTCTGGCCTTGCCTCTGTGGTTACTGTGTCTGATGCCCCAACCAAATCCCTGGCTGGCCCCTCCACAGAGAAAGACTTCGTTGTGGACTTTGAGAAGATCTACAAGTATCTGTCCTTCTCCTCTAGAAATGGCCATGGCCCTGAGCTCTCAGCAGCTGGTAAGAGGAGCTGGGGAGGAGAGGGGTTGTGGGAGTTGGGGTGCAGAGTCAAACCTTGTCCTCTCATTCTTCCCTTTCCTTCTGTCAGAGTCAGCTGTGGTCCTTGACCTGCTCATGTCACTTCCAGAGGAACTGTCCCACCTGCCTTGCACAGCCCTGGTGGAACATATGAACAAAACATATGCTCAACTGATGGCCCCCCAGACCTCCCTCCCTAGTGGGAAGAGCCCCAGGCCTGGGAATGAAGATGGAGGGACTGGCTGCAAGGGGCCCGAGGAGCCTGGCCAAGCCAGTCCTCAAGCTTCTGAGCCCATAGAACAGAGGCCGGCCTGGCAAGAAGTTGGGATCTGCCCATTGAACCCATTCCTGGTACCCCTGGAGCTATTGGGCCAGGTGCCCACCCCTGCGAGGTGAGGAATACAGAAGACCAGATATGCTGACTTCTGCCTGGAACTTCAGTCCAACACCACTTACTGGGTGACCAGGAGGATGATTGTGGAAGTCCCTGACATGGTGTCCAGCCACAGGCTAAGTCTTCAGATGCTGCCTCAGAAAGGGAAGTATAGTTGTAATGAATGGAGATATAGAACTCTGCACATAGGCAGAATTCCTGGACACACAGACAGGGCTGGCTTCCCTAGCCCAGTTGTGCCTTGTTCTCTGCTGTGAGTACCATAACAGCATCATCTGTTTCAAGCATATGCCCTCCTGAATCTGCGCTTGCATTTAGATTCTCCTAGCTCAACTGACCACTGTACAGTTCTCTCCACTCTTTTCTGGGGTGTCCTGTAACTTTCAATAAAGTAATTGAAGCAGCTAACTGTGCTCCGTTCCTCATGACAAAAATAGGAGTAGGGGTTCTGAAATGACACAGTCTGGGAGCTGGAGCAAGACGCCAGGGGAGAGGGTGCTGTCCCAGCAAACGCTGGTGCCTGGGGTAGTGAGATAGCTCCAAGGGTGAAATGCTTGGTGTGCAGCCTGGCAATCAATTAATTCCTTGATTAATTCCTCATATAAAGGTGAAGAAAACAATTTCTGAAAGTTGTCTGAACGCACATGCTATAGCACGTATATCCATCCACATCATGCATACAAACATACAATTTTAAAAAGCTGTCATCTAGAGTGACCTTAGTGTGGCCATAAAGAGCTCCTTGGTGACTCTGTGGAGGTGGCTCTTTGTCAAAAGGAAAGCTGGGCTGGCTGGTCTCATGTGGGACAGTAGGGACAAAGTTTCAGAGCAAAGCAGTGATAGATCTACAGATGTTTGAAGCTGGCAGTGTGGCAGCCAGATGGAACAAAGCCCTGGTTCCAGGGAGGTAAGAGGTGGATTCCTCTGGGGGGACGAGCAGAGAGGTGGAGGAAGACGGGAAAGCCCCTTCAAGTGGCCTTGGAGCCTCAACCACCCTTGGAAATGAAGGGAGGAGGGAGGCAGAACTGGAGGGGGTTTAGGATGGTGTGGGTTAGAGCTGGGGCAGTGGTGGAGTCGTAGTTGAACCCCAAGACCCCACACTTGCCTTTTGCTGTTGGGCTTCCCACCATAAGCTCCAACTGCCTTGTGAGTATGAAGTACAGGACATGCCTGAGGAGCTAGGCTCTTTTTGGGGAACTAGGTACCCTGCCATGATAGCACCCTCCCCCAAGCCTAACGAGTTGTCTGAGAGTGAGTAAAATTTCTGTTCCCTGAGCTGTGCCTTCGCCTGGCTTTCCTTTTATAGAAAGGCTCGATTCTCCCCACACACATTGCACACGGCTCCCTCAGGCTCACAACACATCTCCCAGGCAGACTATGGAGCCTAGCCAGCCCACTCCATGGTCACAGGCCCACAAAGCCAAACCCACAGGTTCTGAGGCACACTGGATGGTGGGGACAGGAGGGATCGGGCTCAGCAGTTTGGTTTTTGGAAAACAACCTCCAGGATAGCTGGAGGTACCCCATCCTAGCTCCCCATAGTCCTCAGTGACTCCCTGGGTCAAGGGGGAAAGAGTGTATGTGTGGGGGTGTCTCAACTATGCCATGAGCTAGGGGGATGGAGATGACTGTTAGCCTCCCCCCCACTCCAAAGCTACTGAAAGGTTGTGTATGAAATTGGGTATTTGCAGGACTAGGCAGCAGTTAAAACAGCAGATCTGGCTTCTAATTTCAGATCAACGGCCTGTGGCAAGTCGTTCTAGCAGCTTGGACTTCAGTCCCCTGGCCTGGAGAATGGGGATCCTAACAGGGGCTTGGCTTTCTCACAAATTCCCAGAAGCAAACGGGCTAAGAACAGGACTGGCTAACTCAGCACTCTGCTTGGCATGCAGTAAGCGCTCAATATTAGCTTTTATTATCATCTCCATCGTTCAGAAGCAGGGAGGAGTGAAAAGGCAAGGGAAGGCTGTGGGGACATGGAGAAGAGGAAAGGCACTCTAACCTGGGCTGGGGCTGGGGCTGGGGCTGGGAAGGGGATAGGCCTGCGTGTACTCCTCCTGCATAGAGTGCAGACATTCTCTACACAGCAGCAGCCGTGGTGGGGTTTCGGGTCTGTCTCTGGGGCAGGCTGTACCATGCATTGTAGGTAGGCAGCGTCCACAGTGAACTGAAGAGAGCCTGCCTGCCAGGGCCAGAACTCAAGAAGCGCCTTGAAATTGGTGATGATCACAGTAGGGGAAAGAAGACGGGGATAGAGGAGTCCGCACTCCCAGGAAAGGATGTAACACTCATGCCTGGTAGCTGGGGAGGGTTGAAGTTGGTGCGGGATGATTCGCCCACTAGGGAAACAGAGTTCAGGGAACAGCAGTGAGGATGAGTGGGCAGGGAGACGGGGACAGGGCAGATAAAGGCACCAGGTGGGGTTCTGGCCCGGCCAGGAAGGGAGATGGGCGGCTAAGGGGGTAAGGACTGGATTTCTCCGAGCGCCTTCAACTTCGGGCTAGGGCATCTGGGGTACAATACTGAGTGCAGTCCAGGCTTGTGGCATTCCTCCACCGGGCCGGCCCTCTCGGGATCGGAGGACCGGCCCGGGACCCCGTGCCCCCTCACACCAACGCGTAGTCGAACTGCCCTCGTTCGAGCGCCTCCTTGTGGTCGGTCCAGGACGAGGCGGGCATGCGGCTATAGGGGTCTAGCAGTATGCGCACACAGCGCACCATCAACAGGACCAACACCACGAGCAGGCAGAGCACGAAGGCGAACACCGTGCGTTGCTCGACGTCCAGGCCCGCGCCCACCGGGGGCCCCGTCGATGGCGGCAGCGGCTCCGGTGACAGTGTCCACGCCGCACTCATAGCTCACATCGCCGCGCGCCCTGCGGAGAGAGGGGTGCCCACCCCGGGGTCCGCCGGGATGAGGCTACGCCCTCCCCGCACCTCCATCCACCCCTTCTGGAGTCGCCCCTTTGCAGTATCCTCAACATCGTCCCTGTCCGTGCTGCCGTCTCTGGGCTACGCCCATGCCCAGCCTGTGTGCTCCGCCGCCACAGCCACGAGGGTACCCAACTCTAGCAGTGCTCGCAGGTGGGGTCCCTGAGAGCCAGGACAGGGCTACTCAGATCCGCCCAGCCCGCGCACAACAGGTGCGAACGCGCTGGGCCAGGGACCCGAGCTGCACGGTTTAAACTGGTCCCCATCCCGCTCCCTTTGTTCTCCGCGGCCCAAGACCCCCTCCCCCACCCGTCGCCGCCTCCCCAGCCACAGCGCGCCCCCCTCACCCTTGGTCCTAGACGGGGACCGGCCGCCCCGCAGCCCCTCTCTCTCCCGGGACTCGTGCGCCGCTCTGCTCTGGTCTTCCTGGGGTGGCGGCGGTAGTGGCGGAGGCTGTGGCGGCCCCGGCTCAGCCCACCCCACCCGCCCCTGGAGCGGTGGAGACCGAAGGAGGAAGGAGACGCGCGCCAGCCGGGCCGCCGCGGCTGTTCCCATGGCGACGGGGGCGGGGCCGCGAGGGTGGAAGCTGTGCTGGGAGCAGTGCCTGGGCTTGTGACCCCGCCCCGGCCTGCCTACCGGGAGACTGGACCTACCCACCACTAGTCCCTGCAGAGACAGCCCCAGCTCCAACTCCCAGAGCACCTAGAACCTCACCAGGGCGTGGGTAGTTGCTAACTCCCACCACGGAAGCCTCACTCTGACCTTTGTGTCTGTATCTCTATTCTTCCTGGCTGACCCCTCATCCCAATCCCTGTTTTAGGAGGATCCTGATGCCCCCAGGCACCGGCTATTAGTGTTTAAGCTGCTCAGTCTCAGGGAACCCCCAATTCAACAGAGACCCCAGATAGCTAGGGTGGTTATTCTCCCCAGAAGAGGGCAGGGTCCTGGACTGAGAAGGCGGCACCCTATCTGGCTACAATCCTCCCCTGACCTTGAAGGTCTCTCTATGACAAGCCCTCGGTCCCAGCCTTCCCAGCAGAGACGTACACTTCAGACTGTTCAAATGGCTCTTCTGCGCTTTGGTGTTTTATTATGTCCAGATCTTAGGCTTATGTACAGGAAGTAAGAGCATTGATTAAAAAGAAAAAAAAAATAAGGACCTAAAGTGAGTGGCCTGGCAGGCAATGCCAGTGGACTACTTAGAACAGCAGGCCAGGCCTTACCCCACCGCCCACAGGAGTTCCTGGGCTGGGGCCTCTTGACACTACCAGCCCCCCCCCTGTAGCATTCTGGGGAACATCCCAACCCTGCGAGGCACCTCCATCCCGTTTGTTGTCCAGCTGGTTTCACAGCTGCCCTGAAGAACTTGCCGCAGGGGCTATACATAGTCTTGTGCCAAGCTGCCTCAGGGAGACTCTGTCCCACGATGGTCTAGCTCCTCAGCTGCCTAGACTCCATCGCTGCCCTCAGAGTATCTGTTCTGTGCTGGAAGCTGAGATGTCCAGGAGGCGCCAGGCAGCATAAGGGTTGAGCTCTTCCTGATCTCTGCAGAGTGCCCACACGTACATCATGCGTAGCACCTTGTCCTGTGGAGACCCGGCAGAGTGAGGGGCCAGGCTTGGTGGGTGTACAGGGGAGGCTTCTGAGGGAGGCAAGGAAGACTTTGGGAGGGGCCAGGGAGGGGTGCCTGGGGCTGTTGGCTCTGGTCACTGCTCAGACAAGATGGTGGATCCTCTAACTTCAAAAAGGTCCCAACTCCTAGTTGTTTCTCTTCAATTCCAGAACCCTCCTGGCTCCAAGCCGGAGTCTATGCTGGGCAGGTATGCGTAGGGCTTTCTGTGTGAGAAGCTGTCCCAAACCTCCATTCCCTCAATCCCCACTCACCGGGTCACCCTCAACCACCTCGTCTTTGGGGTTCTTGATCACCATCACCAACTGAGCCTGAAAGGTGACGATCAGCACAGGGCCCTGCTCCATCATCTTGCCCATGGCCAGCTGCAGGCAATATAGAAGCACGGGCCTCAGAATAGCATACCCTCCCACTACCCTGGAGATGAAAAGCCCCAAAGCTGCACCCTGTAGGAAAGAGGCCTGACACCTTGCCCTGATAAAAGCATGGTACCCCTCCGCCACTTTGGGTTCCTTCTCACAGACAACACCAGGCCTTCACTGTGGGACTTCCCTGTTCCTGGACTGGGGGTGAGGGAGGGCAAGAAGTTGGCTCTGCTTTGCCTGCAGCTGTCACCAGGGAAGAAGTCTGTGACTGAAGCTCAACTGCCCGTTAGGCCATGCTACAGAGGCAGAAACGCCACTGCAGTGGGGCTCAAGGGCACCGAGGCCTTGGCAACGCTCACCAGGGGGCCAACAGCACAGGTGCTCCTGGATGTAGGATGAGGAGCATCCTGATAAACCCACTTGAAAATATCATTGACTAGGCTTGATGGTGGTGCACGCCTTTAATCCCAGCACTGGAGAGGAAGAGGTAGGCAGATCTCTGTGAGTTCAAGGCCAGCCTGGTCTACAGAGTGAGTTCCAGGACAGCCAGAGCTGCACAGAGAAACCCTGTCTACAATCCCCGCCCCCCCCACGCCCCCCCGCAAACAGAAAATATCAAAAACTCACTAAAATACCAGATGTAATATGCACCCTAGCAAGTAAGTTGGACTTTACATGAACAAAATTATCTAATACAAAGCCCATTTAGATTTTGACATGACTCAAGTAACACAGGCTGGTCTCGAACTCACTAAATGGCCCTGAATTCCACTGCCTCGGCCTTCAAATGCTAGAACTATCACATCCAACCAACAAACCTATTTTATAATAAAGCTGTTATATGGGATTCTTTTTTTTTTTTTTTTTAAATACGGTTTAATTATTTAACCCAGATTGTCCTTGAACTTTTGGGATCCTCCTGCCTCAACTTCCAGAGTGCTGGAATTATGGTGTGTGCCACCATGTCTGGCTCACTGCATGGAATTTTCCTTTTTATTTGTCATTTGTATGTGAATAGTATGTGTGCTAATATGTGCACACAAATAAAGACCAGAGGAGGGTAACAGGATCTTCCTCTACTGCTTTCCACCTTGTTTTTGAGATGGGGTCTCTTACTGAACCTTACATTCAACATCTCGGCCAGGCTGGCTGGCCAGCAATCTCCCAGGACCTGCTTGTTTCCACATAAATGTTTGGGGTTATAAGCATGAATAGCCAAGCCTGGCTTTTTAAACTCAACATCTCTTGCTTTTACAGCAAGTGCTCTTACCCATGGAGCCATCTTCTCAGACCTGACAGAATTTTGAGTAAAATTTGAAATATGGTTTCAACCAAATTCACTACTATGCAATAATCACTTTTGCACCATCAAGAAGTTAAAAACAAAAGAAAACAAACAAACAAAATCTCTAGCATGGTGGCCCAGGCCTTTAATCCAAGCACTTAGGAGGCAGAAGCAATGAGTGTGAGTTTGAGGTCAGCCTGGTCTATATAATAAGTTCCAAGCCAGCTAGTGCTACAGAGTGCTACCCTGTCTTGAGAGAGAGACAGAGACAGACAGAGACAGAGAAAGGGCCAAAGTATAGCTCATTGACAGAGCACTTCCTACTATAGGCAAGGCCCTTGACTCGGTCCCTAGCCTCCTCAGTCCACCCCCTGCAAACCAACCAAACATCAACTAATTTAAGACACATCATTTAGCTGGGGATCACTTGTACTCCAACCACAGAAACATGAAAAGCTTCATGAGGCAGGCCATACATTTTTGTTTGTTGTTGTACTAGGAATTCAACCCCAGGGTCTTACATATGCTAGGCCAGAACTCTTACCACTGAGCTATATCCTAGGCCTCTTTTTACTTTTTCTTTTGAAATAGTGTCATTATTACCCAGATTAGCCTGGAACTCACTCTGTAACCCAAGCAGGCCTTGAACTCAAGAGCTTCCTGCCTTGAGTAGTGGGAACCAGTAGGCTTGGCCTCATTTAATTGGTTATGTCAGCTGGGGCTTCATGCTGACCACCCCTTTCCTTGGGTAACTTACGTCCACGTTGCTGATGTCCAGGATTCGGGAGTGGAACTGGAAGCCCAGAGCTTTGGCTTGCTGGATAGGGTGGGCCAGCTGGCTGTAGGTCTGCAATGAGAGGCAACAGGCCCATGTGGTCAGTCCCTGATGGAGGCTGGAACACACCCAAAGGTGGTGCCATGTTCACAGGCCCCACAAGTTGGAGGGGCAGAAGCCAAGAGAACAAAGAAGTCCAAGCCCAGAAAGATGCCACTCTTCGCTGGCCAGAACTGAACACTTGCTTCTCATTATGGAAAGAGCCATATTCCAAAGTGGGAGCAGTATCAATCAGTGTAGTAGGTAATTCCACAGCATCATCCAAAGGACACTCCCAGGGTAAGCGGGTGGACTCTTGGCTGATCTCTACTGCTCCCAGATTCACCTCCCCTAGAATCCTGGCCTGGAATCAGATGTCTTTTCTAGGATTGGTCCCAATCTGTGGGCTGCTCTGGAACTTTCTGCTTGGGTGGCCTCTCTCATAGAACATCCGAGGCGCCACTCTCCACTGCCCCAAGAGCCTCAGGGACATTTGGCCACATGCTAGAGAGCAGTTTCACTGAGCTTAGAGGCAACAAGGGTAGAAAAAGGCTTTGTAGGCACTGGCTTAAAGGGGGCAGGGGGACAAGCGGCAGTGCTGGGCTGGGCAAGTGGCTCAGTAGACTAAGCGCTTGCTACACAAGTGTGAGTTCAAATCTCTGTAACCCAAGTAAAGCTGGGCACAGCAGCACTTGTCTGTAATCCCAGCATTCCTGCAGTGAGATAGGAGGTGGGGACAGGAGAAGTCTCTGGAAGCTCTTGGGACAGCTAGCCTGGTATACACACAGTGGTGAACAAGAGACCCTGTCCCACACAAGATGGAAGATGAGGATCAACGCTTGAGATTGTTCTATGACCTCTACAAATGCATCATGGCACAAGCACACATGTACATCACACACACACACACACACACACACACACACACACACAAAAAAAAACAGTGCCAACCCCAGCTGGTGGGGTTCTGCTGTTTGTTGCTATAGAGATGAGTTTCATATAGCCCAAGATAGCCTTGAATTCTATGTAGCAAAAGATGACTCTGAACATCCCAGTAGTGGGATGGTAAGCATATGTCTCCATCACCCAGTATATGCAGTATGGAGTGTCAAACCCAGGGCTTCCGGCATGTTAGGCCAGCACTATAAAAACAGAGCTACACCCCTGCAGAACCATGGACTTCTTTAAGACAACATTTTAAAAACACCTCATTGGAAGCAACTAGAATTTCAGCTGTGTTCTAGGGGGTACTAGGCCATTCTTGGGTAGAGGATCAGCCACAACTTTGTGGTTCCAAAGGAGGAGGGAGACAAGGAGGGGGAGGAGGACTCGGACTGACTCCAGCTCCTCTCATAAATGCCCGCTGGCTTAGTCACAGTGCAGGGGAGTATTTCAAAAGAAAACC